ATTAAAAAAAAAAAAAAGAAAATGTATCTAAAGCTATAATATAAGAAAAAATTTCCAAAATAATAAAGTATTGAATTTCCAGACTAAAAGGAAATTTTTATAGCAGGTAATTATGAGAAATAGCTTAGGTTGAAAAAAAATAGCTTAAGTTATTGAAATACGAAGAAAAAAAACACTAGAAGTTTTCAAGTAACTGAGCACAGAAAAAGAAGTCATCTTGTAAAAGGAAAAGTTAGACTGAATTTGGACTTCTGTATAACAACTTCAAATGGCAGGGCACCTGGGTAGCTCAGTTGATCAAGCATCTAACTCTTGATTATAGCTCAGGTCACGATCGCACCATTTGTGGGTCCGAGCCCTGCATTGGGCACTGCTCTGGCAGCACCAAGCCTGCTTGGGATTCTCCCTCTCCCTCTCTTTCTCTGTCCCTCCCCTTTCACACCCTCTCTGTCTCTCTTAAAATAAATAAACTTAAAAACAAAAAGAAGTCATCTTGCAAAGGGAAAAGTTAGACTGAATTCAGACTTCTGTATAACAATTTTGAATGAAAAAAAAAGTGAAATAATGTCTCTTTCTTCAAAAGAAAGAAAATACTACCTTAAAAATTTTACCCAGTCAGTCAGACAAACTGAAATATAAAAGATCTTGGGAATCTTAGAACTAAATTGTGGATTAATCAAAGGAATCAAATGCATGTTCTAAAAAGCATGTTTAAAAGACTATATATACTTTACACATAAGGGTAATTTTCATAAAATCTTAAATAAAAGAAACTGATTCAAGTGTTTATATTCAGCCAGGTTGAGAAATTTTAAGCATATGGTAGTTCAGGAATATAGCATTTTTGAGCTATTCTTTTAAAACGTCTTGACCAACTCAAGCTGTTACAAAGTTGATGAATAATGACTCCATTAAATCAGTGGTTCTCAGTGAGGGGTAAGGGGGTGGTTTTTCCTCTCAGGTGACATCTGAGCATTTTTGCTTGTCATAACTGGGCTATTTCAACAGGCATCCTAGTGTGTAGAAGTCAAGAATGTTGCTAAACATCCTACAGTACACAAGACAGCCCTCCACAACAAGGAATTACCTGATGCAAAGTAGCCACCGTTGTTAATGGTCATCTTCACTTCCTTTTGGTTTTCTTGTGTTGCTTGAATTTTTTTTTTTTTATAGGCATGATCATTTTTATAAGAACGAGTCGTTATTTTTTTAGGTTATATAACAATCCTTTTTTTTTTTCCAAGTTGTTGGATAAACTTCCTCTGAAAGCATAATAAATGTCTTGAATCTTATAGTAACACCATTTATAAGGTGAATTAAAATTAACATATCCCTATTCTCTGGTCATTCTGGAAGCTGTTGGCCCAAGCTGACGTCCAGGCACATTTACCCCCATGGGTTATATACAGTATTTATAGCCTGTTCAAATGAGAGTGTACATACACTTAAAGAGGTGGTGAGTGAAGAAAACAGCCAGGGAGGGAGTTAGCTACTTCCTAGAAAATGTATAAGCTTTACTGAGGAACATAGGCATTCAAACCTGTCTTGAATGGGGGAAAAGAAACGCAGAACTCCCAGTAAGCACAAATGTCCCTGTTTGGGAAGAAGTAACAGGAAAAAGAATACATTGAAAACAATAGCTTGTAAATTTGTCTTAGGATGTAAAGGAAGGTATTTCTTTTTTTTATAAAATGGCTCAGTAAAGGAAAATATATAACCATATTAATAACTCTTCAAGAATTTTTTTTACACTTTAAACTGTATAATTTTCTTCAAGAATTTTTTAATGTTGCTTTAGTAAATAGAAAAATTTTTAGTTTACTTAAACCTGAGTGAAAATCATTGAATTCTTCTAGAATGTCGGTATAACTGTATGCCAAAAATCCGTTTGTTACCTTTTGTTGAACTTAGTATGGCCATGCTGTTGAAAAGTCTTTGGGCACCACTTCCCAAGAATGAGAAACCTAATTGAGCACTCAAGTACAGAGAGAACATTGAACTGTTTCACTTTCCATTTTATTAGGTTTCTGTATGTACAGATCCATTTTCTTTCTACTCAGTGCTCTTACAAATATATCTGCCTGGTTTTCCTGAATATCGTGACAGATAACTTCTACCACAATGTTGTGATTCTGAAAGGAGTTTAGCACATTCAATGCCTTTTCTTCTTTTTCATGTAAAAATGCAAAGTAGATTTAAGAAAACCAAAACTTTTAAGATGCAATTCTAAAATCAATCAAAATGTTAATGCTTTTGGAAAGATCAAATGGTGATTTAAAGAGAAATTGTCAAGTTGGCTTTGAATTTGTGTTTTTCCACATGAGAGGTAGGTTCATATATTTGACTACACTGTCATAAAGTGAATATAGTTTCACTTTATTCACTTTTTCTTCTGTTTTTACCTGTCATCATCTTCTGTCTACAGTTTGGAAACTAGTCCCATAACTGATACTGATCTTGCAAAGAGAACTGTCTTCCAAAGATCATACTCAGTTGTTGCTTCTGAATATGATAAACAACACTCCATTTTACCTGCACGAGTTAAAGCCATTCCTAGAAGAAGAGTTAACAGTGGAGACACTGGTAAGTATAAAGATAAAAAGGAAGATTCAGTGGTCCACATGATTTTGTTTGCAGGTATTTTTTAACATCTAATTTTTGAAAGGAAATGGATTAGTTTTTTTAAGTTTATTTATTTTGAGAGAGAACATGCATGACAGAAGAGAACGCATGAGAGGGGTAAGGGAACAGAGAAGGAGAGACAGAATCCCAAGCAGGCTCCATGCTACCAGCACAGAGCCCAATGCAGGGCTCTAACTCACAAACTGAGGTCGTGACCTGAGCCAAGATCAAGAGTCAACGTCAGACTTAACTGACTGAGCCACCCAGGCGCCCCAGAAATGGATTAATTTTAAATCATGGTTGACGTTCCTTTTATGAAGCTATAATTGTGCCTCTCTTTCAATTTCAGTTGAAAGACACACTTAGAGACCATCCAGTGATTGATTTTTCAAGAATAAACTGACCTTTAAAATCTTACTTGTTAATGTTGCTGTCATGAGCTATTCCACTAAGCTTCAGTGAACTAGTAGTTGCAGCGACTTACACTTTCACAGTTATATTCTCACTCCTAATAGAAGCTTATATATACCCCTTGCAGCTGCTTCCTCTCTGAGTAGATAATTTGGGGACATAAGTAGCTCTTAATCAGTAAAAAAAGTTAGACAACCTGGACTAGTTGGTATCAACAGCTCCAAATCAGGGCTGCCTGATTCTGTGTCAAGAATAAAAAAAGAAACCCAAGAGAAAAGGATTACATGGTGATGATTTATCAGGTAGCCCACTTAACTAAAATGAAGATCTGGTCTAATATTTATAGACAGATGATTCTATAACTTCTGTAGATTCCATTTAGGGGGAAAAAATACAGTCATCTTTTAGAGCATTTTAGAAAGCATGAACTTTAGATTCAGCCCTTGATTTAAAACTTAGCTCCACAATTTAATAGCTATATGATTTTATGAAAGTGAGATATTTAATCCTACTCAGCCTCAGTAAAAATTGAGGTTATGATTTGTGTCACATGTGAAAACAAAACAAAAAGCTTCAAAGATTCTATAATGAATCAGCTAGATACTATTATCTTTAATAACATTGTAAATATGTTAATTGTATATATTGCCTATGAAAGTTATTTTTTCTTTTTTTTTCCAATAAATAGAAGTTGGTTCTTCCCTCTTGAGACATCCATCTCCTGAGCTTTCCCGGCTAATCTCAGCCCACAGCTCTCTTTCCAAAGGAGAACGAAATTTCCAGTGGCCAGTTTTGGCTTTTGTTATACAACATCATGATCTAGAAGGTCTTGAAATAGCAATGAAACAGGCCCTAAGGAAATCTGCTTGCCGAGTTTTTGCTATGGAGGTATGAATACATTAAATGGGGTTATTGATTCCTTGACCATACAAATCATTTGATGATTCTATTTAATGATATTACTTTTCTACCCAACAGAAATTTCCAAAAATTAAGAGACATTAGCCAATCGAAAATATCAAATGTTCACATCAAAATTAAACTCTTAGGTTCATGAATATAAATGAATTTAGAGATCCATCTTTAAGCACTCTAAAGAAATTTATTTCTGCACTGCTTTATTATTTGAAAGCTATGAATGTCTTTTTAAAAAGCTTTTGTAATGATGATGTCGTTTCAGTTAGAAGAATCATGAAAAGGGATGAAAAGTAGAGCTTTTCAGTTATAAATTTAACCATAATAATTTTTCTGAGTCTATTCTCTGGAAATGACAGGATCGCTAGATGTTGTATTTTTATGTATAGTAAATCTTTCGTCTTTGTCATGGGCATTATAATAAATAACCTGCCACTTGATTAATGGGAACAATATAAATATATTTAAGTTAGTGATAGCTTGATAGAGCTTGAAAAAAAAGCTGTTTATCCGAAGTACAAGTTGGGGAAAAATGTGCTTCAGCAAATTAATATGAAGATGAAAGTTTGAAATAAAAAGTGGTTTGAAAAAATATTTCTGTATTACATTTTATAGATATTATTTTCCCTATTATGTTTTTAATTCGGACCAAAATTATTGACTATTTCAAGTTCATTGTGTTTTTAATGAAATGAAGGTCAGATGTTTTTAGTATCTTTCCTTGAAACACTTAGTGGAGATACTTTGTTTCTGAGTAAGGAGGGTTCTGCAGTTTTTAGTCCCACCTTTTTTTTTTTTATCTTTCACTCATTTAACCTTCATTTATTCAGGCTTTCAACTGGCTTCTGTGTAATGTCATCCAGACGACTTCTCTACATGATATTCTGTGGCATTTTGTGGCATCATTGACTCCTGCTCCAGTGGAACCAGAGGAAGAAGAGGATGAGGAAAATAAAACAAACAAAGAAAATGCAGAACAAGTAAGTGAGATTTTTGGGTTTTTCAAATTTGTCTGTATTTTTATAGAAGAGTAGGACCACCTTCAGATCCTATAATAATATGCATGAGTTCACACACAGATTATATAAGCTAAAAGGCAAGAATAAAATTTCAGTGCTATCGAGCAACATAGTCACTATACTTAGTGACTGATTCCTCCCTAAATACTATTGTCATGAAGCAATGAACTGAAAGATGTATACTGTTATAGTACTGTATAAGACAGGTAAACAGGGCAACATTATTATAGAGAATATCTGTCTACAACATTGCTGTAAGTTGGCAGAGAGTGAAAGTGATACTCTGTAGGGACATGAAAGTTGTTATAGCTCTTAAGACGAAATTATTAATAGGGATGAAAATGGTTTCTACAAAAACCATTTTCTAAACATGTATGTATCTAATCATATAGCCTTAAAAATATTAAGTAAAAATTGACAGAACTGCAAGGAAAAAGAGGGAAAAAAACATCCACAATTACAGTGTGAGATTGTTTCACACCTTTCACAACTAAATATTCCTGCATAACAGACCACCCTAAAACTCAATGGATGAAAACAGTTTCCTATTGGCTGACAACTCTGTGGGTCAGCAGTTTGGGTGAGACTTAGTTCCTGCATACACGTTTAGAGTTACCCTGCTAGGAGACTGTGAGCACACTAAAATTGATACAGATACAGTATTCGTTTGGTGATTTTATTTATGAGTGACTGCATCACTTTTTCCCTAAAAGATAATACAAACATAATTAGTTAATCTGAATGTGTGTTTTGGGTATGCTTTGATTTTGGTTTTATTGTTTACATTTCTGTTACATGACTGTCTTTAAAGTATACATAACACTTTTGGGGCGCCTGGGTGGCGCAGTCGGTTAAGCCTCCGACTTCAGCCAGGTCACGATCTTGCGGTCTGTGAGTTCGAGCCCCGCGTCAGGCTCTGAGCTGATGGCCCAGAGCCTGGAGCCTATTTCCGATTCTGTGTCTCCCTCTCTCTCTGCCCCTCCCCCATTCATGCTCTGTCTCTCTCTGTCCCAAAAATAAATAAACGTTGAAAAAAAAAAAAATTTTAAAGTATACATAACACTTTTAAGTATACATATTTTTTTGTGGGGAAAGTTCCTTCCAGCATACAGACTGATCAACCTGCTTTCAATTTCTGTCTTAGGAGAAAGACACGAGAGTATGCGAACATCCACTCTCAGATATAGTGATTGCGGGTGAAGCCGCTCATCCTTTACCACACACATTTCACCGCTTACTTCAAACTATCTCTGATCTTATGATGTCTCTCCCCAGTGGCAGTTCATTACAGCAAATGGCCCTAAGGTAATTGTATATCTCAGTATTCTGGGTATGTTGGAGAAGAGATTTTATGTGGTATTCAAAGTTCGAGATGCTCAAAAGACCTTTTAAATACTAAGATACAAAGAATCTCTACATTATGTGAATGGTGCTTCCCTCATTACTGTCTTAATCTGGAATTTCCTCCTTGGCTCACACCTGTTTGCCTCTCTGTAAAACGAGGATAATACATTACTTAGTGCTCTAAATTACCCCAGTCTGTAACAGTTTTCCTCACTTTTGCCCCTCTTCTACCTCAAGTAACTTGTCTCAGTGCTACCCAAGAGTAGCAATCTTAACTGTCACAAAAGGGAGAAGGAGAATGAAATCTCAGAAACAGAAATCAAAATAGGGTTTTTGAATTGAAGAGAATTTTAAGAAAAGTGAAACCTCTGTTATATGTAAGGTAGCCTAAAACTACCTTGAGGAACATTACTTACTTTTAAGTCTGAGACTGCTGAGATTTTCACATTACTTCTACATTGTGAACCTTGTCATCAGATCTTCACACTGGACCTCACGTATAAAAAATGCTCCACTGGTTTTTATAAACTGTAGATTTTTGGAGTGAATTTTGGCTACCCACATCCCTAAAGACTGGTAGAGGGGAGATTGTGTTTCCTCCTAAAAAGATTTTTGAAGTACAGGATGTGTTATATATCAGAGTATATGTAACTCTGATGAATTAGTATAGAATTGTAAGACTAATAAATTTGAGAGGCTTGTTTTGGTTGAGGTCACACTTGTCTGTCTGCAAGATTGATTTATTACCTTTTTTGCTTCTGTACCCTTGACGTTCATGTATCCAGTTTTTCTATATGTAGAATGAGTGAACTTTCCTTAGGTCTTACCCTATTCCAAAGAAATTACCTTTATTGTTCACAAAAAGGCGGTGATACTATTCCCTGATTTTTTTTTCTATTTCTGTTTTTTCCCTAGAATATTAAGATTTTTAAAAATCTTAACTACAGAGTGCTTTCCCAGGAATTCCTTAGGAATTATTTAATACCTTGCTTATACCTTTTTAGGTGCTGGAGTCTGAAATTCAAGCAATCTGATCACCAGTTCCTCCATCAGAGTAATGTCTTTCATCACATTAACAATATTCTGTCAAAATCAGATGATGGAGACAGTGAAGAAAGTTTTAGCATCAGTATCCAGTCTGGCTTTGAAGCGATGAGTCAGGTCAGTCATTGAAAGTTGTCCTCTGTTACCCTGTTAATATTCAACGATGTATACAAGCAGAAACTGAAAGTCACTCATAAACAGTTTGATTCATTTCATTTCTTATCTCACATCTTTTGTTTTATTATCGTGAAAAATTTCCATTTCAGTGTTGTAATAATGTAAAACTTGTAATAATGTGAAAACATTTGTTTCTGGTAGGAATTGTGCATAGTAATATGCTTAAAGGACTTAACCAGCATTGTTGACATAAAAACTTCAAGCCGACCTGCCATGATTGGCAGTTTGACAGATGGTTCTACGGAAACCTTTTGGGAATCAGGAGATGAGGATAAAAACAAAACTAAGAACATCACCATCAACTGTGTAAAAGGAATCAATGCCCGCTATGTATCTGTCCATGTGGATAATTCCCGAGATCTAGGGGTAAGAAAGAAAACTTAATTTGTGGCTCATTAGTTCTTTTCAGACCTTCAGTTACCATGCCCTATCCTTCTAAGTTTAGCAAAAAGATTTTCATGTGGAATTTCACTGACCAAACAGCATTTTTATACTTCCCAAGTAAATCTTACATCTAAAAACAGATTAATAGGACTAGGGGCACTATGGAATACCAGTTCTAAAAAGAGGTGTGATTACAAATACATCCTGGCTACAGCTAAGCAGAATAAATGTCTCCTCTGTAATTGCCTACCTCCATACCCTTGTTTAAGCTATTCTCTTGGCCTGGAAGTCCTCCCCTTAAACTCTGCCTATCAGATTCTCCCAAAATCTCAAAAGACCAGCAGAGAAATCCTCTCCCGGTACCTCTTCTATAAAAATTATTCTTTCCCTTCTCTACGTTCTTCTTTCTATTACTCTGATGGCACTGAATACACTTTGACTTATCATGTAATTAGCTTTCAATTTCTAGCCTTCACCCTTAGCTGTCTTGACGATGGTGGTGGGGTTTCTAGACTAACCTAAATGATCATAATTTGTATTCTCCCTAGCACTAGCCTGTTCACATGTTTCAACTGAATTAAGCACTCCTTTACAAAAGGCACTAAATAATGGGAAAAGAGTCCTGTTTACTTGAGTGTTAAGAACCAAGAAGACACCAGCTGCCAGACTCACGTGCTTCTCCCCCCATTCCTGGGGAAGGATACTCCTTAGAGTTTTTTCCCTCAAAATGGATGTGGCTTGCTTCAGAGCCTGCTTCAGATTCTGTGTCTCCCTCTCTCTGCCCCTCCCCCATTCACTTTCTGTCTCTCTCTCTCTCTCTCTCTCTCAAAAATAAACATCAAAAAAAAATTTTAAGTAAAAACTTAAAAAAGAAAAAAGAATGGATGTGGCTTGCTAATAGATACAGTATTATAAATCCCCTCTGTTGCCAAGCTGCTCCTATCCCATTCACACATTTCCTTTCCCAGGAAGACAGAGTGATGGGGTTGGGTCTTGGGTAACCTCGATAGAATGCCAACCTGAGAAGCCCAGTCTGCAGTCAGAACACTCCTCACCATCTGCAGCCACCCCCAACTCCTGTCCATTAAGTGCAGCTGCAGTGCTTCCGTGGCGGTGAATAAGAAGAAGGGGCGTAGCTAATATAAGCGTACCTCCTTTTCAGAGCCAAGAGTTTCAATTTGTACAACTACTTTATCTTACTAGAAAGTCAGGTGTAATAAATCAAAACATTTTTCTAGCTAGAACTTACTGTTCAGTACAAAGTTATCTTTGACTCATGGTATATTTTAAGCCAGGACATACTCTCCCTCAGAACAATGATTCCAATCAGTTTGACATTTTTCCCTTTTAGGGAAATAATCATAGCAATATTCATTTTAAAATCCCCAGTAGATAAGCTGACATGTGCTTTCCTTTTAAGAAACCTCCTCTAAGTTCTGTGTATCCTTGAGGCTTATGTACCTGTGTGTCCCCAGCCTGTCTACCACCAGTGCCTTATACATGGCAGTTGTTTGAATTGCATCGACCTAGAGCGCTTAAAGTATGCAATGCTCCAAGGAATTAATGTGTTAATCTGTTTCCTGATGTGCTTTGCATAAAGCTTATTCAACCTTAAGGTCTCTGGCTCTAGAACTAGCATGATCTTTTTGGTACCTAATGACACTGAACTTCTGTTTGACATTTATTTTGTTTGCTAATGCTCCTTCCCTAGTGTGTCAAGAGGACAGAACCGATCATTCTCATATGTCCTTCTCCAAGGCTGTAAGACAGTCTTGGTACATTGTGATAGTCAAGAGTGTTTGTTAGGGAGTGGAGACAAGAGTGAAAGCAGAGTTGTTGGAAAGTCTCATGATAGAGATAGAATTTAAATCTTTAGACTTTGGATAGAAAGAAGGAATGCCAAGCTTTTCTTTCAGAGCCCATGGAGACTGAAGGTAGAATTTGTGAGAACGAGACAAGACTGGAGTTGTAAGAATGTGGTTGCTTGAGGGACAGGGGGAGCACCTGGGTGGCCCAGTCAGTTAAGCATCTGACTTCGGCTCAGGTCATGATCTCACAGCTTGTGGGTTCGAGCCCCACATTGGGCTGTGTGCTGACAGCTCAGAGCCTGGAGGCTGCTTCAGATTCTGTGTCTCCCTCTCTCTCTTTGCCCCTCCCCCACTCATAGTCTGTCTCTCTCTCAAAAAAAATAAATAAACATTAAAAAATTAAAAAAAAAAAAAAAAGAATGTGGTTGGTTGGGCAGATGGAGTGAGATCAGTTAGGAAGAATCCATGACAGACATACAGAAGAGTTGATGTGATATCAGTAGGCTGTAAGAAATCATTATAAATTCAGTAGCAGGAATATGGAAGAATAATTGTTGTGCATTGTCTGTTTTAGAATAAAGTTACCTCAATGACCTTCTTAACTGGCAAAGCAGTAGAAGATTTGTGCAGAATAAAACAGGTAATTAAAATTTTGTCATTAAATGTTACCTAGGGAGAAATTCTTCTCAGCCTCCTCTGTTAAATTCTAATTTCGGCATGCTACCAAAGTATTCTAGGAACTCATCTGTTTACAAAACATTAAACCGACAAATAGTCCAGATACAGGAACATTTACAACCATCCCTGTGCTAATAGCCTATAGTGTCCTAAATGCTCTCCTGTCACAATCGATTATACTATACCTACAGTCCTCTACTCTGCCTCCTGCTCCCTTACAAAGAAAGATTCAGGGCACCTTAAAATGCATCACAAATCCCATTCACAATTAACACCTACACTTCAGGTTAAAATGTAGATTGTTGTCCTCTAGCCTGAAAATCTATCACAACAGTGCACCTAAATCCAGGCTGCAAGTCAATTTACAAATGAACTTTAGAAACAAGTTAGGTTGTATTTGGGCATTCTATATAAACTCACTTGTGTTAGTGAAACTTTATCAAAGCTGTTATCCCATATATGTTGACTACTTGTTTTGTTTTTCAAATCATATTGAAAGAATAAATTGAAATTTTGGATTAAACAAATAATAAATTTTGTTTAAAAGGCTAAAAGAATTTGGGGAAATACTTCTGTTCAGTGAGATAGTATTTATGCTTAATGATTTTTCTAGAAAATTGACATTATCAATTAATTTTTTCATTTTATCAACTGAATAGAGTCAAAAACCATTTCATAGTGCATTGAAATTTAATCCTTGAAAAGTTACATTTTCAGTGAAATCAGGAATCACAAATATGCAGTTACATATTATATAATTTTTCTTCAGAAGCAGAACATATTAAGTAACTGCACATCAAATATGCTTATCTATCTTTGAAAAATAACAAAACATGGTTATCTTTAAATGGTGGTTAAATGTGAAGATGCACAAAACAGGACCTCGTGCTGATCTTGTATTTCTCCTCAGTCAGATTAGGGAAAGGACAGTCACATGAATTGTTTTAATGATTTTACTTAACATAACTTGTGCATGGAAAGTAATCAGACCTGTATTTTAATTCTCAGCTCCATGTCTGACTGAGAATCCTTCAACCTGGGTTAACCTCACTTTACTGAGAATCCTTCAACCTGGGTTAACCTCACTTCATCTGTATAATAGCTACTGTAGTATTACTTATCCTCACCAGGCTTAAGTAAGATAGTCAGTGTGAAATAACACAGTAAACCTTAGTCTCCGTACAAGTCTTTGTTATTTGAGCTTGCAGTTATTAGCGCTAAGTCTAGGACCTTGGTAAGAGAGTGATATGGCTGTATCAGGTTTCTATCCCTTTTCTGTTTGCTAGGTTGATCTGGATTCTAGGCACATTGGTTGGGTAACAAGTGAACTTCCAGGAGGGGATAATCACATCATCAAGATTGAATTAAAGGGCCCAGAAAATACACTGAGAGTTCGACAAGTAAAAGTCCTGGGCTGGAAGGATGGCGAAAGCACAAAAATTGCTGGCCAGATTTCAGCCAGTGTGGCCCAGCAAAGGAACTGTGAAGCCGAGACTCTGCGAGTGTTCAGACTTATTACATCTCAAGTGAGTGTCCTCACTCCAGGTTCTAGCACACGATACACTGAAATCATATCTTCTGCAATGCTGATACCAAAGGGTAACAGAATACTTTGTAAAGCTTGTTAGAGATGGATGGCAAACATATGACCCATTTTCTCTTCTTCTCCTAGCCCTAAACTCCTGTGTTTCATTTTGCATTCATTAATTCTTAAAAGTAGTAGCGTATAGCAAGAACAGCATAGTAATATTATAAAACCTGCAGTATTAGCTCATGCATCCTTTAGGTTTCACACTAGTAATTACTGCCATTGATTCCTTCTCACATTCCTGTCTTTATCAGGTATTTGGAAAGCTCATCTCTGGAGATGCTGAGCCTACACCAGAGCAAGAGGAAAAAGCACTGTTGTCATCACCTGAAGGAGAGGAAAAAGTATACAATGTATTTATTTGTATTCTAAAAATATTTACTTCCATTTTTCATTTTCTTTTGTTAAGTGAAATATTCCATTTATTACTATGGATTTTAATGGATATGTGACATTAATTTCTATGAAGTTAATGTTTTTTACTTTAATTAGGAGATGAAGAAACTATCAAAAGAAATCATCTGTTTATATATGATCTAGCTAGTACTGTGAGTAACAGCAAAACTTGGCTCTATACCTTGGGCTGTAGTGTCAAATGTTAGGATTTGTAAAATTAGCTTAGTCATTTACTGTACTGTGTACAATTAATTATCTTCTCTTTCCTCCATTTCCTCCATTTAATCTGTTCTTCATAGTCCAGTTAAAAAATACTGTCCTCTCCAGGAATCTTCTTTATGATTTCCCCCAAACAATATGCAGTTTTTCTTCTGCTAAACTTCATAGTAATTCCTAGGACTCTCTTCTTGATTTCTTTCATATGTTGATTTGCACACATATCTAACCTCTCCTACTGAATCATAGTTTCCTAAAGACCAAGTACATACCTGATTTGTCTTTGTGTCCATGGCATAAACACACATGCGTTTGGTACATTTTTACTGGAGGAACCTGTTCTTTATGTTCTTGAAATTTCTTTTTTTGTGTGTGCTTTTTATTTTGAGAGAGAAAGATAGAACACGTGTGTGCGAGCAAGCAGGGGGACGGCAGAGGGAGAGGAAGAATCCCAAGCAGGCTCCATGCTGTCAGCAAAGATCCCAACGCAGGGCTCAATCCCACGAACCATGAGATCATGACCTAAGCCAATATCAAGAGTCAGACACTTAGCCAACTGAGCCACCCAGGCACCCCTTGAAATTTTTTTAAAACTGCGGTTGCCTTTACTTATTTGGTCTACTCTAAAGCTCCCTGCCCTAAAGGAAAACCTCATCTATTTTCAAAAAGAGAGGTCAACCCTGACTGGTCTCGATATTCTTATATCTTTAGATGTTACAGATAATCACCTTGGCAGCCCTTTGAAAGATAAATTTCAAGGACTTATCTGGTCTAGCCCTGAGCCTTCTGATATAGTAATGTCTAAGTCATCTACATCATTCAGTTTGGGTTCTGTAGAAAATAAGGTTTTATAAACTCTGGTTGTTTCTTTCAACATCCTTTGGAGATACCATTTGAATGACTACACGACTATGTGACTATTCATTAAATCAGCTGAATTTTGACAAAATGGCAATTTTGTGCTAAATAATTGTGGTAATTGGTACCAAGCCCTCAGAAAGTTTGTGTCTGTTCTTAGATATGAAACGTTCACACACCCCAAAAAAAGAAATCAATAGGGATACTATATAGCATATAATCAATTTTTTATGTACATAAAAAAATTGCACATGTCATAGGTTTTTAGAGTATGTTGAAAGTATTGCACCCTGGAGTGGTCAGAGAAGGGTCTTGGTAGGTGCTGGATGTGAATTGGACCTAAAAGGGAATGGGTGAAAGTTAGATTGACAGAGGCGATGGGAGCAGACTCATTGAAGAGGCTGGTCTAATAGTAGGAGAGTATATGTTGGGATGCTAAGGTTGATGGGGAAAGTTAATGCTAGTGGTAAGATGCCCATGAAATAGCACAGTTGTTAAGAGAATCATTTTTTAAGTCAGGTGTTTGAAGTAAAATTTGCATACAGAAAACACTGATCCTTTTAAACTGTATTGTTCAATGACTTTTGACCAACATATAGAGCAGTAAAATCATCATCACAATGAAGTTTTAAGACACATCACTCAAAATTTCCCTCCTGGTCCTTTACAGTCTGTCCCCTCACCTCATGCATAGACCCTGGCAACCACTAAACTGTTTTCTGCCCGTGTAATGTTGCCTTTTCCCAGATGTCATATAAACGGAACCATATAGAATATAACCTTTCCATCAGCTTTCTTTCACTTGATATAATGATTCTGAGATTCATCCATGGAGGAGCATGTGTCAGTAGTTGTTTCTTTTGGTTGCTGAAAAGAATTCCATTGTTTGGAATTAGCAGTTTTTGTTTATCCTTTGACCTTATGATGGATATCTGGGTTGTTTCTTCTATTTGGCTATTATTAATTAAGCTGCTGTGAACATTTGTGTACAGATTTTTGTATGGGGACACTTTATTTCTCTTGGGTAGATACCTATAAGTAGGATTGATGGGTTGTATGGTTAGTGTATGTTTAACTTCATAAGAAACTGCTCAGCTTTTTCCAAAGTGATTGAACCATTTTACATTTTTACTGGCAGTGTATGAGATTTCCAATTGATCCACATTCTCAACAGTACTTGGTATTGTCACTCTTTTTAATTTTAGCCATTGCAGCAAATATGAAGTAGTATCTCATTGTGGTTTTAATATGAATTTCTCTGAGGATTAATAATGTTGAGTAAATTTTCAAGTGCTTATTTGCCATCTCCATACTTTATTAGTGAAGCATCTGTTCAAATCTTTTACTTATATTTTTTTATATCGGGCTGTTTGTATTACTGGGTTGTAAGATTTTTTTATATATTGAGGATAAAGGCTCTTTAGCCAGTGTGTTTTCAAATATTTTCTCCTACTTGGTGGTTTATCTTTCATGAAACAGAAGCTTATAATTTTGATAAACTACAGTTTATCTGTTTTTTTCTTTCTTTTTTTTTTTTTTAATGTTTATTTTTTGAGATGGAGTGCGAGCAGGGTAGGGGCAGAGAGAGAGGGAGACACAGAATCCGAAGCAGGCCTCAGACTCAGCTGTCAGCACAGAGCCTGATGCGGGGCTCGAACCTGAACTGTGAGATCATGACCTGAGCCAAAGTTGGATGCTTAACCGACTGAGCCACCCAGGCACCCCTGTTTTTTTCTTAATGACTTAGGATCTTTGTATCTTATCTAAAACTTAATGTCACAAAGATTTTCTTCTAGAAACCTTAGAGTTTTAATTCTTTTGTTTATAGCTATGTACCTTTTAAGTTAATTTTTCTCCATAAGGTGTGAGATAAGGGTTGAGTTTTATTTATTTTTGCCTGTAGATACCCAGTTGTACCACCACCATTTGTTGAAAAGACTGTCCTTTATCAGTAACAAATTCACCATAAACATGTAGGTCTATTTTTGTAGTCTCTACTCTTTTCCACTGATCTGTATATATATTCTTAAACCAACAGCAGACTGTCTTGATTACTGCAGCTTACAGAAAATCATGAAATCAGATTCCACCACGGTTCTGTTTTTAGTTATTTCGGCTATTCTTGTGCCTTTATATTTCCATATAAAGCTTAGAACCAACTTGGTAGTTTTTTCCCCTTCCGAAAAATCAAAAACAAAAAACCAACCTGAAATGTTATTGGAATTGTACCAAATTGTTAGGTCAGTTGGGGAGAATGGATATCTTAGTAATACTGAGTCTTCCTATCCAGGGATGAACATGATATATTTCTCCATTTATCTAGATCTTCTTTAATTTTTGTCAGCAGTGTTTTTTGTAAGTTCAGTGTACAGGTCCTGGCCACTTCTTATTAAATTGATCCCTAAGGGCACACGCATGGCTCATCAGTTAAGCGTCTGACTCTTGGTTTCAGCACAAGTCACTAGCTCATGGTTTCATGAGTTCAAGCCCCAAGTTAGGCTCTGTGCTGGCAGCACGGAACCTGCTTGGGATTCTCTCTCTCCTTTTCTCTGTCTGCCTCTCCCCTACTCACACTATCTCTGTCTCTCTCAAAATAAACTTTACAAGAAATGTTTTTAATAAATTGATCCCTAAATAATTATAATAATCCCTAAATAATAATTGTTTTTGATGCTACTGTAAATGGTATTCTTATTTCACTTTCCAGTTCATTTCTAGCATATAAAAATACAGTTGGCTTTTGTGTATTAAACCTCTGTGATCTTAAATTGTTAGTTCTAGAAGCCTTTTTGTAGAATTTTTGGGATTCTCTTCATAGATAATCATGTTGTCTGCAAAGAAAGTTGGTTTTATTCTGCCTTTCCAGCCTATATGCCTTAAATTTCTTTTCTTGTGTTAGTGCAATGGCTAAGCCTTTCAGTACTATGTTGAATAAAAGTGGTGAAATCAGACATCTTTGCCTTTTCTGGATCTTACTAGGAAGGATTCAGTCTTTCACCATTAAGTATAATGTTAACTATAGATTTTTTGTAAATGCTCTGAGAATTTTTATCAGAATGGATATTCTTATATATTTTTCTTTTTTCATTTTCTTATATTCATTAAAGATAATTGGTATATTGCTATGTATATTAGTGGTTATGTAATATTAGCCTAAACATAGTTTATTTTTCTTTAATAAAAAGAAAGATATTAACTAGGGGAGTGATAACTAAAAGGTACAGTGTTTCTTTTTGGGGTGATGAAAATGCTCTAAAATTAACTGTGGTGATGCTTGTACATATCTATGAATATACTCTAAGCCATTGAATTGTACATTTTAAATGAGTGAATAGTAAAGTATGTTAACTATATCTCAAAGCTATTTAAAAAAAACTACAAAAGAAATTTAAAAGTAAGGAGATAAAGTAACTATCTAAAAGGAATTCATTTGTTAATGTATGATCTAGCTAGTGTTTCAAGTAGCAAAAGAATTATTCTACCAGTGTGCTTTCTTTAATCGATATAGGGCTGTCTTCTTCTATTACTTCTTTCCATCTGTTTGCTTTATTTTTGATTTTTTTCTTTTTCTAGTTTCAAAGACTTGAGATCTTTCTTTTCTCATATAAGTACTGGTGCCATTTTCTTAGCCCTGCTCTAGTTGAGTGTCAGAAATTTTGGTGTGTTGCTTATAATATTTTCTCATTTCACTCAGCATTTCACTCAGTTCAAAATATTTTTTGATTTCCATTTTGATTTCTTCTTTGACCTCTGGATAATTTAGACATTTCTTGTTTAATTATAAATATTTGGGGATTTTTCTTGGGGGGTAACTTTCTATTACTAATTTCTAGTTTAATTCATTGTGGCCAGAGAATATACTTTATATAATTTCAGGCCTTTTAAAATTGTGAAGGTTTGAATTCTGACTCATATATTTTAGAGAATGTCCACATGCTCTTGAAAAGAACATGAACTCTGCTTTTCTTCTAATAGCAGTTCAACTTAGTTGATAGTTTTGTTCAAGCTTTATTGAGAACTTTACTGATTTTTGTTAGTTTGCTCATTTACTTGTTCTTTTAAGTACAGAAAAAGTTTTGAAGTGTCCAGCTATATGGATTTGTCTATTTTCATTTTAGTTTACCTGGTTGCCAATCTCAGCTGTCTGATGGGCACCAAAATGTATGGTTTTGTAGATTATCAGCTTTTTCTCATTGTTAAGGTGGGAGTTACATTCTCATATAGCTATCTCTGTCCTAAGAAATGTGAAACTAAGAGTCATTTTTATTCTTAGAGGAGTGGCTTGCCTTACTTTTCTTACCTGTAAAATAGAAAATCAGACTTTATCTTATGGGCTTGTTGTGAAGATTAAATAAGAGTATATGTATATCTGATAACTATACATCTGTATATCTGTAACTTAGAACAGTTCCATTTACGTAATAAGCACTATAAAATTTCAGCCTTTATTTTTCTTCTTTGTTTCTTTGATTACTGGTGGTGGTAGACTAGCCTAATTTAAGAACACCATTATCACAGAGTTTTTTTAGGATATTTTCCTTTTAACTGAATGTCATTTTCTGAATTGTTCTTCTAACAACTGAATGTGGATTATCCACGGTTTAGAAATAGATCTAATCAAAGTGACGCAAAATGATAAAGAAGTTCATGAAAAGGTAGTATGCTTCTCTGAATTTCTTAAATTCAGAAATTTTGCTATTTTTATAGTCACCTTAGCCAGTAGTGATTTCTTCAGATTTTATCCTTTGTCTTAGTGTTATAGACCTCAATTTAAAAACATATTCATTTTATAAAATAACCTTAATAGTTATTTATCAAGATACTTTAAGATGTCAAATATACAAATTTTATTCAAAGAGCCTGCGCTCCCCCCCCCCCTTTTCTATGTAAAAGGCAACATCAGACGCTGACCTGAAAGAACATATGGTCGGAATCATATTCAGCAGGAGTAAGCTGACGAATTTACAAAAACAGGTTAGTAAATTGTCATTTCAGTTTTCATTTGTTTTTAGGGTATAAAGTATTTTCCAAAATTTACGGAGACTTTTTTTTGCTGACTCTTTTATAGTCCTGCAGAATGTGTCTGCCTTTAGTATATTGGCATACCTGCATCACTTTAAAGATTTTATGATTAACTTTCTTACCTTGCTGCTCTTTGTTATTTCTCATTTTCAGGTAGATTGTTTCATTTTGGTGTCAAATATCCAGCTATATCAGATTTCATTTGTATTTTCTGTGTTCCTTTTCCCACTTTTCTTGTTTGTCAGTTGATTTTTTTTTTTCCTGAGCAATTATAGTGTTAACTAAATCATTGCTAATATTTTTAATTATAAGGAGATGGAGTAGTACTAGATTGTTCATATAATGTAGTACCTGGGTAACAAAAACTAGTCTTCCAAAAGTCTAATAAAATACCGGTTTTAAATTAGCCCATTATTTTAACTTTCAGCATCATTAAATCTTGCTTAAATAAATAAATTTATCTGTGCTTTATCTTTTTAACAGTGTTTCATTGAATCTTAAATGCTACCAGTTATAAAATGTGCTGTTATTTCATGTATCACTAAAAAATGAAAATTTGCTGCCAATTACATTGTGAATGCCACCAATTATAAAGCACATTATGAATAAAAATGTTAAAATGTGGGAGGAAAATATGCCTTAGAAGTGATAAAATATGGTAATTTGCTTTTGTTTGATGTCTCAAACTACAGGTATGGGTATTGGTAACTTGTATATAAATAGTTTCTACATAGGAGTTGATTTAAATATTAAGATTGTTAATCATAGTTCTGATAGTTTTCCTTAATTGTTTTTAAGATGAGCTAAGAGAATGGCATGATGGAGAATTAACTGGGAGAAAGAGTGTTAAATTGAGCATCAACTAATATTCTTGTCTCTTTTTTTTTTACTAGAAATAGTAAATCTGACATAAGTATGTTTTTACATTTTCTTCATGTTGTCTCTATAGGTGTGTGCTCACATCGTCCAGGCTATTCGCATGGAAGCCACCAGAGTTCGTGAAGAGTGGGAACATGCCATTTCAAGCAAAGAAAATGCCAATTCTCAGCCCAATGATGAAGATGCCTCCTCCGATGCTTACTGCTTTGAGCTGCTCTCTATGGTCTTAGCACTGAGTGGCTCTAACGTGGGCCGGCAGTATCTGGCTCAGCAGCTAACTCTGCTCCAGGATCTCTTTTCACTGCTCCACACAGCATCTCCTCGAGTCCAGAGACAGGTGACTGCTCACACCACTTACCTTCTGGCTTACTTTGTTCCTCAAAACATTGTTAAAAAATTATACTAGCAAAGAGATTCACCTTAGGGTCTTAGGATTTTTATTTTGTTTTGCTATTTTGTTTTTTGGATTATATTTTAACTCCATGCTTTTTATTTTTGACTCATTGTCATGAGAGTATGGAAGAGCAAAATATGTTTCATTTTACTAATGTGCTATTATGATAAAGAGTATTCTGTCTACTGATTGTCTTATTACCATGAGATGTGTGATTTTTCTTTAATCTTTTTTTTAATTTTTTTTTAATATTTAGTTTTGAGGCAGTTGTGGGGGGGGGGGCGGATAGGCAGAGAGAGAGAGAGAGAGAGAGAGAGGAAGACACAGAATCTGAAACAGGCTCCAGGCTCTGAGCTGTCAGCACAGAGCCTGATGCAGGGCTCAAACTCACAAACCATGAGATCATGACCTGAGCAGAATTCAGACGCTTAACTGACTGACCCACCCAGGTGCCCATCTTTAATCTTGACCAAATAAAAGACCTGTCTTTTTCTTGCTTACCTGGAGGGGTAATTACCACTTGAGAAATTAAAAATAGTGTTTAAGTCTTATATTTCTGTCCTTCTCAAAGCTTTTGAAGTCATAGAAGGGCAGCAAGGCGCATTATACAAATAAAAACTTTAGAATACCAGTCTTTAAGAGGAATTCTTTCCTTTCATTTTTCTTATCAGGTAACCTCCCTACTAAGACGGGTGTTGCCTGAAGTGACTCCTAATCGTCTGGCCAGCATCATAGGAGTGAAATCCCTCCCTCCAGCAGATATCAGTGATATCATTCACTCAACAGAGAAAGGAGATTGGAATAAACTAGGTATCTTGGACATGTTTCTAGGATGTATTGCCAAAGCACTCACAGTTCAGCTAAAAGCCAAAGGAACTACCATCACAGGAACAGCTGGTACCACTGTGGGCAAAGGTGTTACAACAGTTACTCTTCCAATGATTTTCAATTCCAGGTTGGTCATTGCATCTGTTTTAGTACTAAAATAGAGCAGAGTGAGCTACTATTTGGAGAATTAAGACAAGATTTCGATTTCTACTTGTTTGCTTGTTCACCAAATAGAAACCATAAACAACTAATCCATGTATGAAAGAGAGTTATATATATAATACAAGTGTCCTTTCAAGTTAGTGGGGAAAGGAAGGTGTAATGAATATGATATTGGAATGCTTCTCGTGTAAAAAAAAAGATATTGAAGGCCCCTATCTCACACCATATACAAAAGTAAATTTGAGATCAGTTAAAACTTTATGTATTTTTCTTTTAACACTCTACTAGGACAAATTATAGAAGAATATTTCTGTAATCTTCAATCCAGAAAGACCTTAAAACTCGGAACCAAAAAGTCACAGAGGAAAAGATTCACAAATTTGGCTACATAAGAATGAAAGTGAACTGAGAGAGAGTAATATTAAAATTTTTTTTAAATATAAACTGACCTGAAAAAAATATTTAACACCTATATAGTAGAGAATGAATTATTAGTCATAATATTTTTTTTTTAATTTTTTTTTTCAACGTTTATTTATTTTTTGGGACAGAGAGAGACAGAGCATGAATGGGGGAGGGGCAGAGAGAGAGGGAGACACAGAATCGGAAACAGGCTCCAGGCTCTGAGCCATCAGCCCAGAGCCTGACGCGGGGCTCGAACTCACGGACCGTGAGATCGTGACCTGGCTGAAGTCGGACGCTTAACCGACTGCGCCACCCAGGCGCCCCAGTCATAATATTTTTTAAATGACTACAAATCAATGAGAAAAGACAAACAACTGATAAGAAAATATATAATGAACAGTTAGTCCTGAGATAAACAATAGGAAAATATCTTTGTTTTGGCAGCATTATGAAGAAATAGGCATTATGACATCTAATATAGATTGCTACAGCCTTTTCGGATGTCAGTTTAATAACATATCACTGTATTTAAAATATGCTTATCCTTTGACCTACCAATTCTACTTCTAGAACTGTTTCCCTCAAAAATGTTTATACCTATGGACAAAGATATGTGCAAGGAAGTTCATTGCAGAGGTGTGTGTAATGCAGAAAATTAGACATCTGGAACAGTACTAGTCAAAGAATCAGTCCATGAGATTAAGCAAATAACACTAGAATATAAATCAGTGTACTGCTTTCTTCATCCAGATAGTCTTGCAAAGAAAAAAAAATGTCAGCTGAAATAAACAGTAGTGTGATACCCACTGATACAGTTGACATATTCTGGTGCAAGCCCTCAATATCTCTGTGGATTGGTAACAAATAGTTTGTGATCTGTGGATATACTTTGAACAGCAATGTTCTAGAAGTTGCAAGATACAAAAATTATATATAAACAAATATTTGGAAGGGAACATGTATCAGAATAGCTACTCTCTCGGGGTTGAAGAGAAGATTATGAATAATGTTTTGATTAATTTCTTTTTAAAATACTTTGAATCATTTAAAAAATTAAGATACATGCTGAAATAGCAGTTTTCTTTGTATTTGTTTGTAACTATCACTGAATGTTTTGCAAATGCTGACTTTTCTTTGTAGTTATGTTCGAAGAGGTGAAAGCCATTGGTGGATGAAGGGCTCAACTCCTACCCAGATCTCAGAGATCATCATTAAACTTATTAAGGATATGGCAGCAGTGAGTTCCCATCCTTCTGATCATTATGTCAATGAAGTGCAATAGAAATCTGATTAAAACAGGCAGCTTGTTCTACTACATTAATAGCAGAAGTACATTAGTGTTATTTTGCTTTACTTAAAGCCTCTGTTTAGTAGGTTAACACACCCATTTGTCTTTTCGTTCAGTGATATGTTTTTTGTGTAAACTTCATTTCAAGCTTCCCAATTAATTTACTTGAGAAACTAAACTTTAAAACTTAAAAAATAAAATATACTTTTTGAGCTCTACAAATAAGCCAGAAACCAAAAACCTAAAAGAAAAACAGGGCTCCCTGATGCGATAGTTTCTCATTCTTTTTAGTTCTCTCTCTCCTGGTTTACAAAACTTTTACTCTTCTTTATTAATATACTCTAGTACTGTCTTTAGATGTTGGCTTTTCAGGGAGATCTGGGAGTGTGGAGGAAAGGAAACTGTTTCACCAGAGTACATGGCTCTTACTGTTTGCTCCATATTGCTAGTTTCCTCACATTCCGTTATATTTCCAGGCTGAGGGGGGCAAGGTGCTGTGGAGTGTGGGCTCCTGAGAGGCAGACCAGACAGAAGGCGTTTTGGAGGAGGAGGTGGAGAAGGAAATGCCCTTTGTTTTGTTTTGTTTTTTAGAAAAAGAGAGAGCACCCAGCAGGGGAGAGGGGAAAGGGAGAGAGAGAGAATGAATGAATGAATGAATGAATGAGGGAGAGAGACTCTCAAGCAGGCTCCACACCCAGCGCAGAGCCAGATGCAGGACTCAACCCCATGACCCTGGGATCGTGACCTGAGCCAAAATCAAGAATTGGACGCTCAGTCAACTGCGCCACCCAGGCGCCCATGGAACTGCTCTTTTAAGAAATTGGTAGCATGTGCGGGGCGCACCTGGGTGGTTCAGTCGGTTGAGCGTCCGACTTTGGCTCAGGTCATGATCTCACAGTTCGTGAGTTCGAGCCCCGCATCAGGCTCTGTGCTGACAGCTTGGGTCCTGGAGCCTGCTTCAGATTCTGTGTCTCCGTCTCTCTCTGCTCCTCCCCTGCTCACATTCTGTCTCTCTCTCAAAAATAAATAAAGATCAAAAAAAAAAAAATTTAAAGAAATTAATAGCAAGTGGATGGGAGGCTAGAAAGGATATTCTGGGGAAATACGAAGTTCTGTCATTTTTCCCAACGGCAAGGACATTTCCTCAATCAGAAAAATGGAGAGCTTTCTCATTTTTTCAACTAGTCTTTCTCAGGCTGTTGACTGGATAAAAATATTTATGAAAATTATTTAGGAACACCTAAATTCTATAGTAAGTGTTTATATTCAGCAAAAATCAAGTTAGCAAATAAAGTAGTTATAATTTAAACACATTTATGCTCTCGGGTTGTAGTAATATTCATCTGAAAGCACTTAGCTTAGCAATATGAATTTTGTGTTAAATAACAAGGCTTCATAATCGAAATTTCTCAACCGTAGAAATGTAAGAGGAAATAACTTTGAGCTCCATAGGAGAAGAGTATTGAGACCTAATTTCTTATTGGCTTTTCACTCATTAAAATAGTGATTAGAAGTTGAGTTTTTCATAAAGTTGTGATGGATTTTTATTTCGAAAGTATGGCCCTTGATCTAAAGTTGCATTAACAAATAAATCTTTCCTTTTTCTTGAGAGCTGTTATTTAAGAGAAGAGAATTTACTAGTATGAGTATACATTTCTGGTTGCTTATTAAACTATTCTCTCCTGCTCAATAGGGTCATCTGTCTGAAGCATGGTCCCGAGTGACAAAAAATGCCATCGCAGAAACCATCATTGCCTTGACCAAGATGGAGGAAGAATTTAGATCTCCAGTGAGATGTATTGCAACAACTAGGGTACGAGGTTTTTTTCATTTTATTGTTGCATGTTCTTTTTCCATAATAGGTTTGATTAAACTTAAATCAATAAGTCAGCTTAATCCAATTTTTTTGACCAAATATTCTATTTATTAAAAAAGTGTGAAAGGCTTTTTTGAATTATGAACTAAGGATAGTGGTTATAAAACATTCACATTGACTGTTATGTGTTCTCTATCGCTTGTTTTTGTTATTATTTAGGAAGCTAAGGATAAAGTGGTTAGAAAAGGCTAAGACCTTGTGTGGTCTTTCTGATGGTGTATTTACTATACATACTTATACATACATAAGTAAGCTTATACAGTAAATTTAGTGTCAACATTATTCTCAGATACGCTGAAAGTCCTTTGAAGACCAGGCCCTCCCTACTCGTTTTGGTACTGCCCAATTATTCTAAAGTAGAGCCTACTTACTGGATTTATAGGCCTTACTTCTAAAAAAGTAAAAAGTGTATTCCCAGAGCAGGGTGGGGAAGAATCTCTTAGCTGGGGAATAGGATTGCATTCTTCAGATGAGACATCTGTAGTAATTTTTAACCTACCAAATTTCATGTCCCATATACTTCCAAAAGAGATTAGGGATTTCCTTGAAGCCAGGGCAGTGTGTCAGCATTAGGAAGAAGTAAACACTGGCAGAAATAGCTCGATAATCTTCACAAGTCTGCAAAAGAAGACAAATTGTATTTCTCTAGGGAAGAAAAAGCCACCTGACACTCTGCTGCTAGTGAGGGTGATGTGTGAAGCTTACTCTGACCACACCACTTCTCCACGCGTACACGTCTTCACCCTGCACTCCCCTCTCTCCTGGCTTACTTTGTTTTTCTTTATCTGTTTTTTTTTCCCTTTTTCTAACTTTTCCCTGCCTTACTCTTCGTCTCTATTCACTCATAAGCACCTTTTAAGTAATTAACTATTTTTTAGTAATGAAGAAATGTGTCATGTAAAACTGAATTTTAATCCTTTAAGCCCCAGAAAGTTTTAAACTGTTTTTGAGGGCTGTATTCTGAAGTTTGTTAGACACGTCCTTGTTTCTGACAGAGTATACCAAGCATAGTGCTAGGCATTTAGAGGTGTACAGAGACTTCTGAGGAGCTGTTATTATCCAGAAGAATTTAATAGGTACCCACCTACCTACTCATGGGACTGTGTAAAATTAGACAACGATTGTACCACCTTCCTTGGAAGGTAGTGCCTCAGGCAGGTGATGCTAGTTGGAAAAATTTGCAAGAGGCATTGGTACCATAAATATTCAATATGTAAATTTGTTTACTGATACAGTGTTTATATATCCCAATAAGGGATAATTTTATATCAGGTAAAAAACAGAATGGTTCATCAGAGCAGCAGTGATTTATTCAGTAAATACTTGAGTGCCTACTGTGTGCATGACACATACGGCAATGAGCATGTGTGCCTGGTACCACATCAGGAAAACTAGAGTACCACTGGGCATCCATGTATTTTCAAATTCAGCTAGCATTGAGCTGTTGTTATGGTCAGGCAGTCACTGTTTTACAAGTCTTTTCTAAAAATTCAGTGTTGTGACAGCCTTTCCTTTTAACAGCTCTGGCTTGCTCTAGCATCACTGTGCGTGCTGGATCAGGACCATGTAGATCGTCTCTCCTCGGGGAGATGGATGGGAAAGGATGGACAGCAGAAACAAATGGTAAGATCAGAATTGTTTTATAAAAACCCATCTTCGTGTCTTCTTTTTCTTTATAAGTAAGCTTTAGCTTAGCTTAAAAAACAAACAAATCTGCGAGTCAAAATTGCACAATTAGTGGAAAGCTTTGTCACATTGCCCAGCTCATCTCACAAATCTGTTTCACTTAGGGTCCTTTCTTCATAGTCTATTAGGGGCTTTAATTACTATATAAAAGAGCTTTCCCCTTCTCTGAGCCATGTTTGCACCACATCAAAATGTGCTTTTAGCCACATTCTCATTATATATCTAGGCTTTACACTAAATGTTCCCAGTCTTAGGATAAGAAGGAAATAAAGAGGCACCGTGACATACCATTTGTTCACAAATATACAGTACTTAAAGTAGGTTTGCTAGGTGTGCCTACATTCACTGGAAGGGAAGACGTTATATAGGCCCTTTCAACATTTTCTCATTTATGTTTAAGTTTCAAAATGAATAATTTATTCATTTAGCATACAGAATGTTTGAACACAGGGGGGAGAAAATGTCTTAAGTCATTACTCAAAGCATACATGTTTATTTTATTAATCATTGAAACTGCTCAGCACATTAATTATTGAATTAGGGGTTTGGAGGGATTTTTATATTTAAGTACATTTGCTATAATTCTGTTTAATGTTCAGATTCTAAATTCCTAATAGACTTCAAAACAATAACATTACTGTTGTGAATAAATCACATTCCATTTGTATGTGTGTCTGAAACTTTCTTGTTACTGTAATGTGACATGTGGGAATGCCTTATTTTAGCCTATGTGTGACAACCACGATGATGGAGAAACCGCAGCCATCATTCTGTGCAACGTGTGTGGAAATCTGTGCACCGACTGTGACAGGTTCCTTCATCTTCATCGGCGAACCAAAACTCATCAAAGACAGGTGAAGATGTCTGCCTTTACACGCAGAACAGCATCTGGAGCATAAGATACATCCAATAAATTTTTTTTTTTTTCAACGTTTTTTATTTATTTTTGGGACAGAGAGAGACAGAGCATGAACGGGGGAGGGGCAGAGAGAAAGGGAGACACAGAATCGGAAACAGGCTCCATGCTCCGAGCCATCAGCCCAGAGCCTGATGCGGGGCTCGAACTCACGGACCGTGAGATCGTGACCTGGCTGAAGTCGGACGCTCAACCGACTGCGCCACCCAGGCGCCCCAAATAAATTTTGAAATAAATGCGGGAAGGAGGCTCGGTGTACTGGGAAAAGGGGACTATGGGATCAGAGACCCCAGTGGCGTTCCCAACTGCGTCACTTACCAGCTGTGTAAAATGACAGTCGTTTAGCCTCTCTGAGACTTCATTTCCACATTCAAAAAAAACAGGGTTGTTGTGAAGATTCAGGACAAGATTGGAAATATCTGAAACTTCTTAGAGTGCTTCATGAAGAAAAGCCATTATTGTTTTTGAGCAATTAAATGTTACACTTCCTCTTTCCTAGTGATAAATAAAACATTTTCCCCTTTTCTTTAATGAATCAATAGGTCTTCAAAGAGGAAGAAGAAGCTATAAAGGTTGACCTTCATGAAGGCTGTGGTAGAACCAAATTGTTCTGGTTGATGGCTCTAGCAGATTCAAAAACAATGAAGGCAATGGTGGAGTTCCGAGAACACACAGGTAAAAGGATTTAAGATCGAACCGTGACTACTGAACTGGATGATACTGATGTGAATTATTTAATGTAGATTATTTTGAGTATATTCTGGTAACTATGACATCACCAATCACTGTATTATTGTATTTACTAGACACTGTTATCTAGGAGAGAGAACACTAGACTACAAGTCAGGAAACCTGGTTTGTCACTCACTAGCTGTGTTACCATGAGCAAGTCATTTTATCTCCAAAACATGTGATTTTTCATTTTTGATTTTTTTTTCTAAAGTAAATCTGGTTATATTCTCAGCTTAAAGTTACATTGAATCTTATGAATTCTTAATTTCCAGCACGTCTGTAGTCTGCCATTTGACACAAATTTGTGATGTTGGAGTTAAGTGCAAATCTGAACAGATTTAAATAAGAGTAATTTTTCATGCTACAAGAGCATGGTCTTTCTCATAGCTGATTTCTTTTTCTGCTATCATCTAATAGGGCCATATAATGCATTAGTAAGTGTTCTAATGTTCAACCATTCTTGTATGCATGAGTTAAACTATCCTTAAAAAAATTTTTTTCCTGTAAATATTGCTGAATTCTGTGTATTATATTATATTTATTTTTGTATCTGTGTTTTCAAATGTGCTTGGTCTACGTTTTTCAAATCTTCCTATTCTTTTTCCTGTTGTTCTGTTTTGTTTTCTGGATTCTGTTACATCTTTGATGATTTCAGACATTTAATTTCCTTTTCATATAGCTCTGTCAATTCTAGTTCCTTGGATGGGAATTCTTCTGTGTTTTAAGTTTCATATTATCTGATGATAGGTTTTCTTTTATGCCTTGTAATTTTATTATAGTAGTTCTGAAAGAGTTATCTTTCTTTTGTGTATTCTTACTTAATTTGTATTATATTTTGTATGTGCAAAATATATTTATCTGTGTTTTTGGAGCTGGGGATTTGCCATATCTGCTCAACCTCCTATCTGTTTGGCTTCAGATAGATCTTTAGTTTCTTGTCCCTTTTTTGTGATTAGCTCCTTTATAATTAGGACTGCTCACAACCCTTCCGTAAAACTGCCAGGCTGATTTTCTAGTGATAGCAACTGATACATACCTGATTGTCCTCTTGTTGTTTTTTTATTTAGCTGGGTATTAAAATATGTAGAAAACATATCCTTAAGGAAGATTTTTCTTTTTCTGCTTGAACCTAGGCAAACCCACCACAAGTAGCTCAGAAGCATGCCGCTTCTGTGGTTCCAGGAGTGGAACAGAGTTATCTGCTGTTGGCAGTGTTTGTTCTGATGCCGATTGCCAGGTGAGTATACAGTTAGGCTGCCCCAGTAAGGAATAGCCTGTATTCCCTCGGGACATATTTACTGCATATAAATAAGAGTTAGAGTTCAGCATCACTTCAGTTTTCTAAGTTAGTATATTCCTCATGTCAAGAGTTAAATTCTTGGGGCACCTGGGTGGCTCAGTCAGTTGGGCATCCTACTTCAGCTCAGGTCATGATCTCATGGTTCATGAGTTTGAGCCCTGCATTGGGCTGTGTGCTGACAGCTCAGAGCCTGCAGCCTACTTCGGATTCTGTGTCTCCCTCTCTTCTCTGCCCCTCCCCACTCATGCTCTGTCACTCTCAAAAATAAAGATACATTAAAAAAAAAATTCTTTTTAAAGAGTTAAATTCTTTATCAGAGCTAGAGAGTGGATCACATAAGCTTCTCAAGCCTGAACCAGACTGTGTGTGTTTATCAGTTACCACCATAATACATATTTAATGTTTGCTTTTGTGCTAGAAACAGGTAAAAAGTCTATGGACTGCATTTCTTTACCTCTTACATACTTTACTCACTTATTTCCCTATAAAAAACTTCCAGTATTTAAGAATTCTGTAGTCCTGAACATCCATACACATATTCCATGCTATCCAAATATTTTCAGTTCTTCAATTCAGTTAACAAGAATTTGAATAGGGTCCAGCTATGAAAGATACCTGTATATTTTTTATACCCATTGTAGTGAGGAGATAGGTAGTAATTGGGAGATTGTATATCAGGAATTTTTTTGCTTCAGGACTATGCATGAAAATAAATCCACTAAAATTATATTTCACTTTTTTATCAGCATTCTCTTTATGTGAAGTGAAAATTTAGAACAAACTGTGGGTTGATGCGGGGGAGGGGAGAGGGAAAAATGGGTGATGGGCATTGAGGGGGGGCACTTGTTGGGATGAATACTGGGTGTTTTATGTAAGTGATAAATCACAGGAATCTATCCCCAAAACCAAGAGCATACTGTATACACTGCATGTTAGCCAACTTGACAATAAATTCTATTTTTTTAAAAATTACACGTTAAGGGGCGCCTGGGTGGCGCAGTCGGTTAAGCGTCCGACTTCAGCCAGGTCACGATCTCGCGGTCCGTGAGTTCGAGCCCCGCGTCAGGCTCTGGGCTGATGGCTCGGAGCCTGGAGCCTGTTTCCGATTCTGTGTCTCCCTCTCTTTCTGCCCCTCCCCTGTTCATGCTCTGTCTCTCTCTGTCCCAAAAATAAATAAAAAAACATTGAAAAAAAAAATTAAAAAAAAAAAAATTACACGTTAAAAACCTTGCTAATAATCTTTAAGTTATATTCAAATGAAGAATAAAAAAAAACTTTATTGTTACATAGCCTCAATGTGTATTTCCTGTGGGAAATATCTTGGAAAATTAATATAATGGATATAATTACCAGGAGATATGCCCTTTCTGATATTTTGAATGCCATCATAATTTATTTTTAATAGGAATATGCTAAGATAGCCTGTAGTAAGACGCATCCTTGTGGCCATCCATGTGGAGGTGTTAAAAATGAAGAGCACTGTCTGCCCTGTCTCCACGGCTGTGATAAAAGTGCCACGACGCTGAAGCAAGATGCCGATGACATGTGCATGATCTGTTTCACCGAGGCGCTCTCAGCAGCACCAGCCATTCAGGTTGTCTCAGCTCTTAAAGTGTTACAAGTGTCTAGAATTTAAAACGGGAATTATAAATATATTTGTTATTAAACCTATTTTATATCATTGGAAGAAAATGTCCCACTAAGCTATTTTATATCACTTAAACCTATTTTATATCATTGGAAGAAAATGTCCCACTAACATCTTCCATTTCTTGAAGAGCAAATTCTGTCCCTTTATGTTTTTTCCATTTTGTGTGCTCACAATTTGTGATTTGTGTGAGTCTGTATAATCAATAGAATGTATAAAATATTCTTAAGGGAGGAAAAAATAATAAGGTTATCTAGTAGCCACTCTCTTCTTAATTTCGAAAACCCAGAATGGTAGCGTTATGCAATTGATAAACATACCTATATATGTAATGCATTTGCATACATCTATAATGTTAGTAATATTATTGAAGTTATAATTTGCTAAATAAGTTTTTAAAACTTTTACCACTTGTTTATATTTTCAGTTTTTACAACTGCAAAATAATGAATATTCTAAAAAATAAATCTTAAACCTTTAAATCAGGAGTTCCTTCTTTCCACCAGAAACAAAAGTGAATAATTTTAAATTGCTCCCTAACGTGGCTTACTCTTTTAAGGTGTCATTAATACACGAATGGTAACAAATTGGGAGAAGCTGAAGATATAGTTTATAATATTTCATGAATAACAGAGAAGATCTGAAATTTCATTATTCTAAACTTGATTTTTCCCTTACCTGCTTTAACTAGCACCTTGCATTGAACATGGAATAATCTGCCATTTTATTCAAGTGTTTATCGTTATCACATTTGCTTATATCCCTTTCTTTTTTTAATTTAAGCTGGACTGTAGTCACGTATTCCACTTACAGTGCTGCCGACGAGTTTTGGAAAACAGATGGCTTGGTCCAAGGATAACATTTGGCTTTATATCTTGTCCCATTTGCAAGGTATGGAGAGAATCAGAAACTGTCTACTTTCTATCTATTTTTATCTTTACCTTCATCTTTCAGAATAAACATGTCAGCATCTCTTGGTGTCCTTCTCAATTTACTTTTTACCCCCGTTCGCCACCAGTTTCTGCTCTTTTCATCCAGGTGTGCCAGAGAATATTATAAGATCCCTCTATCTATTATAATGCATTTCAAAACAGTAAGTGTCCATTAAAAGCTGTTTAAATGGAATTAAACATATCGCATCAGAAAATTCACTTAGACATCATCATGCATGGTGTTTGTCACCACTTTCACATCAAATCCTGAGACACGACAGCAGGTGACGACCAAAATGAATGAGTCTGTGGTGCTTGTAGCTTCTTACACCTGCCAATAAAGATGAAGTCTGGGTTTTCAGAGCCAATAAGACGAATTCTTTTAGAGCGTAGGTAAAACAAGGAGAAGATTATTAACATTTTGACAAATCTCTTTAAAGATAGTAAACAAAGCAGCAACTTGATTTGGCCAGCCAGTCATGATGAACAAAAAACCTGTTTCAGAATGTGACTGACAGTGCCTTCTCTAGTAATTCTTCATTCCTTCCTCTGTTAAGTTCTCCCTATTTCCTTCAGATGTGCAGACTGGTATAAAGGATATAAAATGGAAAGACTTGCTGCAATCATTGTTTAGTTAGACTGAGGAACAATCAAAAATATTGTAATAAATAATTTTCTCTCTCTTCTTATATGGTGCCACAGAAAAGGTCACATTTAGGAAATGATATACGAAGGTGATATACAAAATACTACCTCTTCATCTACCCTACCCCAAAGAACCAGGACACTCACACAGAGGGAGTGGGTCTTATTTGTGGCAGCAAGGCAACCTTTTATTCCCAGAAGAGCTAAGGCAACAGAAGATAATATTTCAGACTCAGCAAATATGAAGATAATGAAACAGAATTTTCATGCTTTATGTCTCATTTGCCCCCATTGTCCCTGATCTTGGAAAAATGTGGGCTTGTGAGGGTTTTACAGGATTATTTTTAAACGGTATTTTATTTAGAAAATGTCCACTCTCTGGTTATCTCCTAACACAGTGCTTAATTCTTACATGCACACTTAAGTATTTGTTGAATTCATAAATAAATGATTCTGTTAAAGAATGTTCATTTTTTAAATTTCAGAACAAAATAAATCATATAGTATTAAAAGACCTGCTTGATCCAATAAAAGATCTCTATGAAGATGTCAGAAGAAAAGCCTTAATGAGATTAGAATACGAAGGTCTGCATAAGAGTGAAGCTATCACAACGCCTGGTGTGAGATTTTATAATGACCCCGCTGGCTATGCCATGAATAGATATGCATATTATGTCTGCTACAAATGCAGAAAGGTATGCTGTAAATTATCATGGGAATTTATAAGAACTAGAGATTACCTATGTGATTAAGAATTGAATTGTATAATGATACTGAATTCTTATATCTTAAGGCCGAAGTTAAAAATGAGAAAGCTTGATACTATGTTTTAAGTTGAATTTTTTTACTCAATTTGTTTTGGGATTTTTTTTAACCTGTACAAACTATTTCCAAAGCATGTAGTATTTCTGTACACAAGCCACTTCACATCAGTAATCTCCTGTTTGCCAAATCCAGTTAGTTCTTAAATAAATCTCTCCTACTTGCTCTTACCACCATTTCCTCATAAAATTCCTTGGCTTCCAAGATGCTACTCTTGGAAAGCACTACTCTTTATTTCTGGTTATTTGTCTTTCACTCCTTTACAAGGCTCATTTTCATTTACCTGCTCTGTATAGATTTAGTTTCTCAGCACTGTATTCTTGCCTAATTACAACCTTCTTACCTTTGCAGAGCTCTTGTTCGCCAAACATCTGTATCATTCTGACCTTGAAAATTTTTTGAGACTTAGATACAAATATTTAACTGCTTACCAGACATTTTAATTTTTTCACAGATACTTCAAAGTCCACATGAGAAGTATTACATTCATCGACTTTGACTGTCTCAGTGTCTGGTCTTTATTTACAAAAGTCTTATCAATTCTGTCTCTAAATATCTCTGAATTCTTTTTTTTCTATTACATCTTCAGCAACCCTAATCATTTTCTTTGGTAATTATAGTAGCCTTCTTACTGAGCCCCCTGTGTGGAGCCCCTAACCCCTCCATTCCATCCTTTACACTTACATTGCTACTAGTAGATTAATATTTCTAAACCTCAAGGGGCTCCTGGGTGGCTTAGTGGGTTGAGCATCCGACTTCAGCTCAGGTCATGATTTCATGGTTTGTGGTTCGAACCGTGTCGGGCTCTGTGCTGACAGCTTGGAGCCTGGAGCCTGCTCCGGATTCTGTGTCTTCCTCTCTCTCTGTCCCTCCCCCACTACTATTACTACTACAGTATTAAAATTTGGAAAATTCTCACGCATGATTATCAAAACAATAGAAGGAAACATTTAATGTTTCAAAATGAGAAAAATTACTCAAACTTTGCCCTGAGAAAGCAGTTTCTCTTCACTACTTAATATATTTTTTATATTTATTTGGAATATTATACATTCTTTTGTTATTTTACTTTGACAGTACAGTGTTTGGAGTTCCTACTGTATGCATGAGTTTATTCCAGATTAAAGTAGCTTTATTTCATACTCCAGTCTAACTATATGGGCATCCACTGGGCACTGCAGGGGACAGTCTAATAGATAATAGTATTTTCTAAGACCTCTTGATTTTACTTTCAGTATCCTCATACTGTATCTTCCATGACAAGGTTTTTGTTGTTGTTCTCCGCATAGGCATATTTTGGTGGCGAAGCTCGGTGCGATGCTGAGGCTGGACAAGGGGATGATTATGATCCCAGAGAGCTCATTTGTGGTGCCTGTTCTGATGTGTCCAGGGCTCAGGTGGGTAGCACATTTTAATAGAAAAGACAGTTTAGATATGTTAAGCTCCTATTTTTTTTTCAAAAATAATAATATAACTAAGATGGTGGGAATAATACAGCAAGTTTTTGCCCAGTGTTTATAGCAGTGTATAATTTTTCAAATTAATTCATATATGTTATTTTCTTGGATGGCATTTACATTTTATAATTTTGTCTTAAATAAAATTATCACCATATTTCAACAAGTAATAAATTTATGTATTTCACTTTCTCAAACCTGTAGTCACACTTTTAGGTTTACCTCACTTCCATGAAATCTTCATAGTACATCTGTGAGACTGAGAGATAGATTAAATATTATTAACCATTCAGTTTGGCTGACCAGGAAAAATTTACCAGGAAATCAACTGTCTTACTTATTAAATCAGATTGGCTATGATGAATCTGAGATGAGAATTTAGGGCCTTCTCCAGACCTTTTGGGCAGAGCTATGCGTTTATTCATTAATTTTTCAATGCATATATCCTCAGTTTTCCAATCAGTTTTGAGAGCTATGCATACTCACATGATACGAATCACTAAGCTACATATATGACCGTCTTAACTGTAATTGAAATAGACTCACTATAGGGGCGCCTGGGTGGCGCAGTCGGTTGAGCGTCCGACTTCAGCCAGGTCACGATCTCGCGGTCCGTGAGTTCGAGCCCCGCGTCAGGCTCTGGGCTGATGGCTCGGAGCCTGGAGCCTGTTTCCGATTCTGTGTCTCCCTCTCTCTCTGCCCCTCCCCCGTTCATGCTCTGTCTCTCTCTGTCCCAAAAATAAATAAACGTTGAAAAAAAAAAAATTTTTTTAGAAATAGACTCACTATAATCTTGTGTCTGTTTATTTTCTTTTGCTATAGATGTGTCCAAAACATGGCACAGACTTTTTGGAGTATAAATGTCGCTACTGCTGTTCAGTGGCGGTCTTTTTCTGTTTTGGAACAACACATTTTTGTAATGCTTGTCATGATGATTTTCAAAGAATGACTAGCATTCCTAAGGAAGAACTACCACACTGTCCTGCAGGTATGCTTTTAATATTTTTAAAAACATTGTTGTAATGTATTTACTTTTGAGTTTAATTTAATGATCACAAGAGAACCCTGTTCCAAGTGGTAGAAATCCAGTTCAAACTAGACTAAAGAATCAGAGCAAATTTCTTGGCCCTTGTAAGCTTTTGACATTCTGAGTGAAGTAGAAAGATCACCATGGTGATGAGGGGTCAAGAGTTGTAATGGAAACCGGCACCTGGGGAAGAAGGAAGTCAGTAAAAAAATCACTGTTTCGCACTACAGGGCCATGTGAAGTTTGAAATTATGAATTGATAATAGAACAGTTTTAAAGGATTTTGTAATTTTTTTTTTTTTTTTTTTTTTGAGAAGTCTGGAACCAGCACCATAAAACGGACAAGTGATTTGATCTAGAGAGGCTGGGAATCGGCAGCGTAGGGAGCGTCAGGAAAGCCAAGGAGTTAAGCCGCTGAGAATACAGGAGAAATAATTGTGTGTAGAGGCCAGGCTGAGAAAAATAGGAGTATGAAACCAAAAAGAAACCCAAAAGATTGGAAGAGGTCAGGAGGCTGGTGGTTCCAATGCAGTGGAGTACCAGGCTTCACAGAAGTGGGGGAAGCAGAAGGGGAGGTAAATGTGACCAAAGAAGAGAATTTTACATGAGATATATCTGAAATTGGTGAAAATACATGCAAAAGTACTTACAGCACAATCCACAATCTTTGGAAAGCTGAGAAACATACTCTCATCCACTGCTTATCAGAGAGCAGATGCTAGAACCCTACTGAAAAAAAGCCTGTCAAAATTGCTAACACCTCTACCTTTCAACAGTCCCACTTCTGAGGATATACCTACATATGTGAGGTAAATAAAAAAAGCAAATAAACAAGACTATTCATTGCAACATGGCTTGTAAAAATAAAAATTCATAAGCAACCCAGGTGTCCAGCAAGAGGGTGGTTACACACTAAGTACTGTGCACCATCAAAAAGAGAAAATGGTGATGAGGATGGAGTCTCTATGTACTCATATGGAAAGATGTGTAGGAGACTGTTACATGAAAAATCAAGTTACAGGGGCGTGTGAGTGGCTTAGTTGGTTAGGCATCCAAATTCAGCTCAGGTCATGGTCTCACAGTTTGTGAGTTCAAGTCCCACGTCAGGCTCTGTGCTGACAGTTCAGAGCCTGGAGCCGTCTTTGGATTCTGTGTCTCCCTCTCTCTCTGCCCCTACCCCACTTGCACTGTCTTTCTCTCTCAAAAATAACTAAACATAAAAAAATTTTTAATGAAAACTTTTAAAGAAAAAAGAAAAATCAATTTACAAAACAAGGTATATAGTCTGCTGTCTTGTAGGAAAGGGGAAAATGAAAATATATGCTCATATTTGTTTATATTTGCCTTTAAAAAACTGTGGAAAGATACACTAGAAATTAATAAAATTAATTTACTATTGGGAAAAACCAGGAAGATAGGTAGAGATGGGAGAAAGGTGACTCAATGTATACAGTGTTTTAACATTTTGATTTTTAAGCCATGAGAAATATATTATCTATTCAGAAAGAATAAGTAGGGTTTTTTTTTTTAAGTATAGCTACTTTTGCTATTTTGTTTATGTTAAATAGATAAAAGATTGTTCGTGGCAAATAGAAATTGTTACACTCTTTCCCCTCTAAAAAGAATTTTTTATTTTAAAGTAGATGTAGTAGACTTTGAAAGAAGCAAGATCAGAATAACGTGAGGCTAGGTGTTTAGGATAATGACCAGCATAAAGATGTGAAATGTAATAGCTAGAGGAGGGTGGTGAGCTGGAGGTCAGCAAATGAAGGAAGTACGATAAGGGGCAGTTTTCTGGCTCATGTTAGTTTCACGGGAAGAGGGTTATTGAATTGAAAGTTGTAAGTCAGTGGTCTAGAAGTAAATGGGAACCAGGAGAGTCGGTCTTGCTTCCTGGCTTCATGATACAGAGGAGCTCAAGAGACCAGCAGCTTCTAGTTGAGAAAGTTTAGAGGCAAGCAATATCATCAGGGAAAATTCACATTTTTACTTAATGAAAGAAAGTTTCTTGTATGTTCAGAAACGAAGACAAAACAACAACCAAACACTAAAATTAATCAAGAGGTTAGCTAGCAATAAAACAAGTGTGGAGAACACAGAGGTGGATAGTCGCTGAGAGGTTCCAGCAAAGGCAAGGCTTCCCTCACACATTCACATGATCACCGAGCTCTGCCAGTACAGGGACTTCACCCTGGGAACAACCATGAGCCAGAGGGATGAGGCAGGAGAGGATTTACAGAGATGACAGAAGGAGGGCACTGACCTCAATCCTGGGCATTTTCACATACATTTTCTTACCTAGTTTTTACAACCTACAAGGTAGCTGGTGTTATTCTCACCTTCACAGATGGAAAGTTAAGGCCCAGAGAAATTCAGTAGCTGGCCTAAGATCATAACACTTAGACTGAGGCATGCTCTCCCAGCCTTTCACATTCATCTAACTCATTAACTCATCCATTCCTATAGAGAACTGGAATAGAATTAAAGCAGACCCCACAGTGAAATCAGCAGGGAAGATGGCCATACATTTTACTTAGAAGGATGGAGGGATTGATTCTGTAACCACTGTCAACCCATTAATTCCAATTTTTAATATATGGATAAGAACAAGAGTCCAGATTAAGAAGTTAAAGTAGACCATTCCTCTGTTACTTTCTAAAATAATTATTAACCACCTTCTTAGTGCCAGAATACTTAGAGTTAAATATTGCTGTGCCTATTTAAAAGATGAGAGACCTAAGGGGTTCCTGGGTGGCTCAGTAGGTTAAGCGTCCAATTTCAGTTCAGGTCATGATCTCGCGGTCCATGAGTTTGAGCCCCACGTCAGGCTCCATGCTGACAGCTCAGAGCCTCGAGCCTGCTTTAGATTCTGTGTCTCCCTCTCCCTCTACCCCTCCCCCACCCACACTCTGTCTCTCAAAAATGAATAAATGTTAAAAAATTTTTTTTCAAATAAAAAACTAAAATAAAAGACGAGGGACCTAAGAATCAAGAAAGATTAAGTTAACTTTGCCTCACTTTTCTTATCTGCACAATGGGGACAATAGTTCCTGCCTCTATGACTGGTAGAAAATTGAGTTGACATACTAGAGCAGTACCTCAATAGCAAGCACACAAGTGTCTGCAGGTGATTTTTCTTTTGTTTTTACTTTCACTGTATTTTTTTTTAGCATCATGATTATATTACTATTTTTTACCTTCATGATTAGATTACTAACTCCTTGAAGATAGGGGCCATGTACTATTCATTTTTACATCTCAAGCACCTAATGTAACACCATTCACACATTAGGCACTGAGTAAATATTTGTTGAGTAAGTGACTGTTTATTTTCTCCCAGAAAAAAACAAGGACTGCCGTTTGCAGGAGCCATCATTTATGGTGTCGTGTACTTGAGTGTCCCTCTTCCTGACAACTCTCCCCCACCCACCAGTGTGGGTAGAATATCAGTGTGCAGTGTGATTTGGGGTGGCAGGTACTGATACACACTATAATTTATAACCGGAATAATTACCTTTGTAGGTTTTAACCTCTGCTCTTATGTCTGGTAGCTGAAACCAGCAGTTGACTTCTCCCTCAGTCATGACCTGTCTTCAGTGTGATACTTACCCTCTTGCCTTGGTCTTACTCTTATATGGATAGAGGCAGTTTGTACTTGTTCAGTGGTAGTAATAACAGCCAACATACTGTGCCAGGCTAAGAGCTTCATAAACACTAGCCTTTTATCCCTCCTGTTTTCCTTCTTTTAAACCTAGAAGAGCTAAATTCAGTTAAGATCTCATTCCCCATTCATCTGGGTGAGCTTATTCCATCCAATCTCATACTTTTCTTTCAGAGTCAAAATTTACATTTATTGTTTTGGTTACTAGCTGTAGGAAACAAATGCATACTTCTGTTTCTTCCTCTGCTGTTAGAGACTCTGTATTCAGGTATAAGCCCAGCCAGGATTCCCTACACAGTCAAGTTCCTCATTTATAAAGGAGCTAAATGTCCTTTACTTTTTTTTTAATGTTTACTTATTTTTGAGAAATAATGAAACAAAGCACGAGCAGGGGAGGGGCAGAGAGAGAGGGAGACACAGAATCCAAAGCAGGCTTCAAGCTCTGAGCTGTAGCACAGAGCCTGACATGGGGCTCGAACCCATGAACCATGAGATCATGACCTGAGCTGAAGTTGGACGCTTAACTGAGCCACCCAGGTGCCCCTAAAAGTCCTTTTTAAATGATAAGAAACACATGACATGAAGCACAATGATATAGCAAGTCTTTTAAAATAAAAAAGTATAGTTTTATGTACATTTTTAAGCCTCATTAAGTTTCTATTTTCCCTAAGTGCTTCTTCCAGATTGTTATATTTTATATTATGTTACCACTCATGTATGTAAGCTGATTTTCATTTTTCTACTAATCTTCCTTCAGATACTTTTAAAATAACAGTCTTTAATAATCAGTCTTTCCATTTCATCAGTGTGTGCGTTTTCTTCAGAGAACTAACATGGCTTATTTACATTTAAATTTGTTTTTACCTGCAGAAAAACATTCTATTAAAAAGTCTCCACATTTTCTCATCCAGAATAGTGTTCAATTCAACTGAACTGACAGATTTTCATGACGATTTTTGTTTATTGTTCTTTGCTTTAAAATGATATACCTAATGTTCAACCTCACTAATCAGGGAAATGCCAAACAAAACCACAATGAGGTGTCATTTTACACCAATTAGAATGGTTAGAATCAGAAAGACAAGAAATAGCCAGTGTTGGCAAGGATGTGGACTAGAAGGAACCCTCGTGCGCTATTGGTAGGAATGCAAACTGGTGCAGCCACTGTGGAAAACAATATGGAGGTTTCTCAAAAAATTTAAAATAGAAATACCATATGATCCAGTAATTCCACTACTGGGTATTTACCCAAAGAAAATGAAAACACTAATTCAAAAAGATATATGTACTCCTATGTTTATTATAACATTATTTACAATGGCCAAGATATAGAAGCAACCCAGGTGCCCATCAAGAGATAAATGGATAAAGAAGATGTGTACACACACACACACACACATACATACACAGAGTAGAATATTACGCAGCCATAAAAAGAAAGAGATCTTCCCTTTTGTGATAACATGGATGGAGACATAGAGGGTATTATGCTAAGTAATAAGAAATAAGTCAGAGAAAGACAAATGCCATATGATTTCGCTTAAATGTGGAATCTAAAAAACTAAACGAAACAAAAAAGCAGAAACAGATCCAAATACAGAGAACGGTCTGATGGTTCTGAGTGGGGGAAGTAGGCACAAAATGGGTGAAGGGGAGTGGGCGATACAGGCTTCTAGTTATGGGATGAATAAGTCACCAAAGTGAAAGGTATAACATAGGAAATACAGTCAGTGGTATTATAATAGCATTGTATGGCTCACTTGGGGTAAGCATAGCATAATGTATAGCTGTGTGGAAGCATTATGTTCCACACCTGAAATTAAAGTAGCATGTGTGTCAACTGTACTTCCATTAAAAAAAAATAAAAATGTTTAAGATGAGGTATCTCATTCATTGATAGAATAAAATCTATAGCTCATAGAGGTGATTTCTAGGCAAGATGTTGTAGGTAAATTCTGTCGTTTTTAAAATTTGTATTTGTGTAACCATAGTCCTGTTATTTCTTTGAATATCTTATCAGTAATTTATATTTACATTAGGTTTGTATTTATGTGTGTGTTTTTTTAATTATATGCTTTTGCCTCCTTCAAAATGTATACAGGTCCCAAAGGCAAACAATTAGAAGGAACTGAATGTCCACTCCATGTTGTTCATCCACCCACTGGGGAAGAATTTGCTCTGGGCTGTGGAGTGTGCAGAAATGCTCACACTTTTTAGAACACTCAGATTCCTTTGTCTACAGAGAAGAAGTTGCCTTCATCCCCCAAGTGGATGTGGTAAAGTTTAAACTCTGCTCAGGATAAGGACGGGACCATTTTTACATCCATGAAAATGAACCATTCACAGTGCAAGAAGGATGCCAAATACCATGTACATAATTCTTGCTATGGAAAGTTTCCCCATTATTTCAGTTTATTTTCTTTTGAACCAAGACATCAAACTTGTGAGGTGTTTGCATGTGGCCATTACAGTCATTGGCCTGTGAAGCATTGAACATTTATAGATAATTGATATAAAAGAATCGCCATGCCCATGGACTAAGAATGATGCTGGCTTTCAAGCAAAAAAGAAAAATAATCATTGTTTATTGTATACTGCCTTTTTTTGTAATCCTGTATAATTGCATCACGGGTGGGGATGAAAAGAAGAATATTCTGGTTTATTTCCTAGACTGTTATTTAAAAAAAAAAATTGTGTTAGGACTGGCATATAAATGTAATAAGTATCACACTGTATATAAAGATATCAATGTTTGTTCTGTATAAGAATTACTAAATTACAAATGCAGTTTCATTTAAACTTCTAGGTTAAGTTGAGCCTGAAATTTTAATGAAGTGCAATACTGAGTGTGCCTCATTATCTTGCAGCTGTAAACATATTGGAATGTACATGTCAATAAACCACTGTACATTTTTATACAGTGATAAAGTCTAACAACTGTGTGAGGTGTTTCTTCAGAAATAAAATTTAAATACCTTTAAGGTCTAAATTCCATCCAATTTTCCTTGTAAAAAAATTCACTGACACAACACAATGATAACTTTCATAACTCTTAGGGAAAATAAGACTAGTAATGAAGTACATTTTGGAATCTTAATTAAACACTGGGAAGAACAAATAAATATATGTATTAATAAACAGACACATGCCAAAGACAGAAAAAAAACCATCTAGGAAATTGACCAACCTCTAGCTTACTAACCAGAACCTTTTTGGACTTTTATCATCAACAAAATCACTTGTCTCTTCTTCACAGACTACAGTGTGTTTCTGTGGATCTTTTTTTATAGTTAACTCATAAAATTGACAATTGTTATTTTTAAGTATCATAAATCAGTTTCTATTTATTTCATGAGAATGACAAAAGTTTTTTTCAGTTCTATATTCCCATTGTTGGAAATACATAAATTGATGTGTCAATATAATGTTTGCCTTGAAGAAACTTAAAATGAAAAGATCAAATCTGAACACAGGTAACTCTTTAGAGAATCTTCTAATAAATTTCATAAACATGCCCAAGTCTTATCCTTCAGGCTTTAGGAAAGATTGCTGTTAACGGTTTTTGTTGTTGTTAGGAGAGGAATAGCTGAGAGGCCATTTGAGCTCCATCTTGAAGAATAAGTAGCATTTCAAGGGGCAGAGAAAGGCATGAGAAAAAAAATATGTAAGCAGAACATTCTAAAATGTAATAGAGCAGTGTGAGTAGTCTAACTCCTGATGTTGGAGACTTTACTGCAAAAATAAAATCGGAATATCACAGATTGATCTCTTCATGATGCAGTTTGTGGATCTGCTGGATGTGCAAGCTCTTGGGCTTGCTGAGCAAGGAAGAAGGTCCCCCTTAATCTAAATAAGATACATCTGACACATCACTGAAAAAGTAATGATAACACTTTCTTTTAAAATCTCTCAAGCGGATTATGCAAACTCCCTTTGCATTGGGTGATGTTGCCTCTGAGTTGCAAGCAGTTTTTAATTGCCCCAATGTGTTTGAAAGCAGGAGTAATCTGTTGTCATTAAGGGCACTCTTGGTGGTTCCAAGCCAAGCTAAAAGGGTTGCAGGCAGAACTAATCCACTCTGAACCTGCAGAATACCTTGGGTTAATATTTCATGAAGAAATCTTGAGCTTTAAGAAGAGAAGTGTTCTGAAGGCATGTTTATATCCTCAAAGGGCCAATTGGGACTGGCTGCCTGTGTTCAAAAGAGATTCTAGCACCTTCAGGGCAATACAGTCTTTTTCTTCAGAGCAAGTCATTGTGCCGTGAGGATGTTGGGCAACAGGCATCAGAAAGGAATGACCCTGCTCCCGAGACAACCCCTCAGCCCCAGAATCTAACTCTCAGGATCTACTTAGGAAGCTGTGTCTCCCTTCTTCCCCAGTCCTCTTCATCCCATGCCAAGTCCTGTGGGAGAAGACTGAAGGAAGGTACAGGCTCAGAACTGGCTTTAAATGTTTCCAAGAAACACAAAGTAGGAGCAGAGATGCAAGCTGTTCCTAGGAATATCCAGGACACCTGGAGGGGAGAATGTGGTGAGGCCATTGTAATTACAGTGGATTTAAAATCACAGGCCACAGGAATGAAGCCAACCTTCAGAATGTCACACAGAGAGGAGACATCACGGATGCTTGAGAACTGAAGAGAATACCATTTTGTATCCATTAACTTAGCTGGCAGATTGATCAGTTCCAGTGTGTGAATTGGCATGGAAAAGAAAGGAAACAGGAAACTAACAAGATGCTTGAGTAGAATGAGCCATCTCAAATCAACATTCTAGAAATCAAAAGGATAAAACTTACCTTCATTTATGAGGATGCTATATTTAATCATATCCCAAGCATCTCAAAACCAGAGAACATAACTTTAGGAATAAGTTACGACAAAGCACAGAAGGGAGATGCCTTGGCATGCTTTTTGGCTCAAGCATACTGTGCACCAAGAAAAAGACAAGAAACAACAGAATCACAATAGCAGGAGTTACGGAATCCGGAAAGAAACCCTTTTCTGTTATATTTGCAGGCCTAGGAAAAGCCATGTTTTAAGCAGTTTTCTGGCCAGACTGCTTAGGTCTAAAAACTCTTAGAGTCAATAAGCTTACTTGAAAAATCTGTATTCTGTGTTCACTTTCCATTCACAACAGGTGTTGATTCCCCTTCTTTTTCAGACTTTTCAGCCCCAACGTCTCTCCCCACTTTGTCACTGAGTTCCACCTGCACATGGTCATGTGGTTCTGACAGTAGCTCCCAGATGGGACATTGCAGCTCGTTTTCCTGAAAAACACCAACAGTACTTAAAGAGCTGAAATTGAAGCCAGAAGGCTTGGGTTTGGGTCCTGCGTCTGCCTCTGCGAACTTGTGAACTTGAGTAAGCCACTTACCCTTTTTTAATCACAATTTCTTAGAAAAAATAATACCTAATCTAAGTCAAATGAGAAAGTATTTACACAAGCACTTTCTCCCACAACAAAATCTTACTTGAAAGTGAAATGTAAAGGAGAAAAGAACATTTATTCAACACCTCCTAAATGGCAGATACCAAATTGTAGGCATTTTATTTAATCCTCCCAGCAATTCTGTAGGCTACAGCATGGTTAATCTCATTTCATGACCTTAAGGGCTTAGAGAAGTTAAATGACTTGCATCAGATGCCAGCTAATCTAATCTAGATTTGTCTGAAAAAAAAACCCTGAGATGTGAATCCAGTTCTTTTTGTCTCTAAAACCCAAACTCTTTCTCCCACATCATGCTATTGCTATTACATCACCAACTGGTTCGATGACAAAAAGTAATTTATGAAATAGTAACTGGACACTTGCAACACAGGCAAAGTCACAAAGGGAACATGACAGTGTTTGCCTCCAGAAGTGTGCAATCTAGATGTGGAGGTGCACAGCTCAGATCTCCTTGTGGGGCGGCCCCTACGTCACAGAGCATGGTTAGCTGACAGCCTCCAGCTCCACACCTGCCACAGCATTTGGTCCAAAGCTGCACTCTCCCCGGGGAAGCCCTGGCCAGTGGCAGGGCTGTGGAGAGCTAGGACCTGGCCATTTCTGCCCAAGGCAGCGCTCCCTTCTGGGCAAACCACCAGGACCTGGGCCAGCCCAGACTTTCTTAGAGCAGCGCTACAATTGGAAGCTCTTCCTACCCGACCTTCCTTCTCTCTACCATTTCATAGATGCCACACCCAAGTCACAGTCTGACGGCCCTCCATTCTCACTGCACCCTTGCCCTTCATCTCTCATAGGCACTACCCCAAACAGACTTACTGCACTTCTAACTCTATCTTGGCATCTTTTCCCAGAGGGCCTGACACAGGAGGGTACTAGATTTTAAATGACTTACTCATGGTGTCTTCATTTCACAAATGACGTAACGTAGCTTAGAAAAAATTCAGAGTCTGTAACAGGTCAATACTGAAGGGAGTTACGCTGAAAAAAATTATGAAAGGAAACCCAAGGTTAGAGATGAGTGTCAAGTAAGTAACCACATAGTCTTAAATAGTTGCTGGAGAACAGGCCAAAATTTTGAAACAAGTTTCTTGGCTAACAAGGCAAGACAGGAAGCATGTTCAGTTACAACTTGCAAATGTCCATTTCCTCAAAAAAAGCAAAGTGCAGGTATATGAGCCTAGTCTTGAATGGATCATTTTTTTAATTTTTTTAATGTTTATTTATTTATTTTGAGACAGAGAGAGAGAACAAGTGGGGGAGGGGCAGAGAGAAGGAGAGACAGAATCCCAAGTAGGGATCAGAGCCTGATGCGGGGCTCAAACTCATGAACTGTGAGATCATGACCCGAGTAGAGATCAAGAGTTGGACACTCAACTGACTGCACCACCCAGGCGCTCCAAGAATTGATAAATTTTGACAAGCAAAAGTAGGAAAGAGCACCCCAGGGAGAGAGCATGGTAAAAACCAAACCAATGATGTGTCCCCTGAAGTGGACGTAAGCTGTTTTGCTTTATTAATCCATTTAATAAATATTTGAGCACCGTTCTGTATCCACAGTTGACAGTGCATGCTCATGAGGGTGGGAACTGTGTTCCCAGCTGCTTAGTAACCATGATTTACACATAGAAGTTACTCGATGAACATGAGTTACTGAGTTAATATGTGCAACGTGGTGGACCAAGTGCTAGAAATAAGACCTTCACAGAACACAAATACAAAAGTGTGTAAATAATACACTGTTGTTAAGAACTATAATCGAGGTTTTCTAACGAGAGAATATTTGTTGAGGGCTTACAGTAGCCAACC